TAGAAAGCTTAGGGGCAGAAGGCCCCGATTAACTGTATACGCACTTCCGGTCTAGACTGAAAGTTACGTGGTTTCAATTCAAAACTTTTTCCATTGAACCGAGTTACATAAATAACCGGTATGACTGTTGTTATCAGGAAAAGTATGATGTACAGTACAGGGACAAGAGACTACTAATTTGAGATCGAGAGCATATATTTTAAATTAAATAAATTAGGAATACGATTAAAAGTTGCAGCCTGGCATTGTGATGATGTCAATAATTTTTGCTTGTTAGATATAAAATTTAATATATCTAATTTATACAGTATCTATATTAGTTAATATAGGCTACATTGCAAAAATATACAAACACTTAGCGATAGTTTACAAAATTGTATTAAAAATTGGCTTCAGTTATTACAGAAATTAACTAATAATTTTTAAAATTGAAAATCAATAATAAAAGCATGCTTTACAACCACTTTAAAAGATTAAATGAGGCAGGGGAGAGTCGTGCAGTACCGACCGCCTTAATATTTTTGACTGTAATCAGTGTAAGACTCGAGAAAAACTGATTTTACAACAGTAATACAATATGTCAAATAGTGCTTCATAAAGTACACGGTAAGATTGCAAGATTTCGCTAAAATTTTACCCAAACTACTAATTATTTCTAAAATAAAAAAGTCGTGAATTCGGGCAGTGCAAATATTGTCATCCAGTATCGACCGGTTACTGTTCTAAAGCATGTTAATTAAGAATTATTATAAAGTGTCAAAAATATAAATATAAATTTTTGTATGTTTTAAAAAATTCTCCTACTGCAATATATTTTTCTCTTGCATTTAATAATTATATTATATATCAAAACTAATGCGTAAACAAAATAATTTTACTTATAATTTAACACGGTATTTACCTTACATTCTCTAGAATCGAGCACAACGTTCTTAAGTGATATAGATAGAAATATAGCCTATATATTTTTTTAAAAATATGCTACATAAATATTGAAATTTTTGTTTTATTAAAGGTACCTTTTTATTAGAATCTTTTAATTAGAAATAGTGGTGGATTTTTTTTTAATTCAAAGTGATCACTTACCTTTTTCTTTTTGGTATGTGTAAACCTTAAAATATTGGAAAATTCCTCAGCATAATCTAAACTTTTTACAAAAAATAAAAAATGTTCCTTTCAAGATATTTACATTTTTGGACAATGGACGGTTTGAAACGTCAAGAAATGCAAAAATTTTGGGGTTATTTCTGTATGTTTGGATGTTAATGTAGGCTTATGTATGTGTATATGCGTACGTGGGGAACGATTTTGTTCACTCTCTGAAGCTTAATAACTCCTGTACTTTTTGTCGAAAATTTCTGAAATTTTGCAGGGAAGTTTGTTTATTACGGGGATTGATGCTAGTAAATTTTGGTGATTAAAGGTCGAAGGATGGGAAGATAAAGGGGGTCATATGTATCTCCAGTTGGGTCGGACTTCATGACGATTTTACTCGTTATTAGCATTTACAGTATTTTTATAAAACGTATCCCTGCTCTTAAAATTAAGCTTTTTGCCATTTTATAATGAGAAAAATATAAAATGTTTTTTAATAAAATATCATAGCAGATGGCGCTATCAAATGTTGCGGAAAAGTTAAGCAACACGTTTCCGGCATTTTTTTATTTTAATGTTTAGTCTGAATTGATGGAAAAAAATATAATATCAAAATTTGTTTCTAGTCATCATAAAAAAAAATTGGTTCTTGTGCCGATTTCGATCACCAATCCATCCCTGGCACTAAACGTTTATTTAAATATTAAAGAAAACAGAAAGTAATAAAATAATATGTTTTTAAAAGACGTTTTAAAACAGTTTTATTAACGTAATGTATAAAATTACGAAACTTTAAGTAAAATGTCGTCTTTACTCAGTAATAAACTGTTTGCGGATCACAGTTTGAATAGAACTGGTTTAGATTATGTCTTCCATTCTTCCCAATTGATAACAGTTTAAGTTTTTCAATAACTTATACTTATCTAAGAAAATACTTTGACTACTTAATAATTTTATAAATTGAAATGATATGTTAGAACACAGTTAAAAATATTAATTTAATTTAAAAATTACATTATTAATAGAACTTTTAAAACACTTTGAAAATCTTCACGACGTTAAACATCTGAAAAATTGNAGGAATACGATTAAAAGTTGCAGCCTGGCATTGTGATGATGTCAATAATTTTTGCTTGTTAGATATAAAATTTAATATATCTAATTTATACAGTATCTATATTAGTTAATATAGGCTACATTGCAAAAATATACAAACACTTAGCGATAGTTTACAAAATTGTATTAAAAATTGGCTTCAGTTATTACAGAAATTAACTAATAATTTTTAAAATTGAAAATCAATAATAAAAGCATGCTTTACAACCACTTTAAAAGATTAAATGAGGCAGGGGAGAGTCGTGCAGTACCGACCGCCTTAATATTTTTGACTGTAATCAGTGTAAGACTCGAGAAAAACTGATTTTACAACAGTAATACAATATGTCAAATAGTGCTTCATAAAGTACACGGTAAGATTGCAAGATTTCGCTAAAATTTTACCCAAACTACTAATTATTTCTAAAATAAAAAAGTCGTGAATTCGGGCAGTGCAAATATTGTCATCCAGTATCGACCGGTTACTGTTCTAAAGCATGTTAATTAAGAATTATTATAAAGTGTCAAAAATATAAATATAAATTTTTGTATGTTTTAAAAAATTCTCCTACTGCAATATATTTTTCTCTTGCATTTAATAATTATATTATATATCAAAACTAATGCGTAAACAAAATAATTTTACTTATAATTTAACACGGTATTTACCTTACATTCTCTAGAATCGAGCACAACGTTCTTAAGTGATATAGATAGAAATATAGCCTATATATTTTTTTAAAAATATGCTACATAAATATTGAAATTTTTGTTTTATTAAAGGTACCTTTTTATTAGAATCTTTTAATAGAAATAGTGGTGGATTTTTTTTAATTCAAAGTGATCACTTACCTTTTTCTTTTTGGTATGTGTAAACCTTAAAATATTGGAAAATTCCTCAGCATAATCTAAACTTTTTACAAAAAATAAAAAATGTTCCTTTCAAGATATTTACATTTTTGGACAATGGACGGTTTGAAACGTCAAGAAATGCAAAAATTTTGGGGTTATTTCTGTATGTTTGGATGTTAATGTAGGCTTATGTATGTGTATATGCGTACGTGGGGAACGATTTTGTTCACTCTCTGAAGCTTAATAACTCCTGTACTTTTTGTCGAAAATTTCTGAAATTTTGCAGGGAAGTTTGTTTATTACGGGGATTGATGCTAGTAAATTTTGGTGATTAAAGGTCGAAGGATGGGAAGATAAAGGGGGTCATATGTATCTCCAGTTGGGTCGGACTTCATGACGATTTTACTCGTTATTAGCATTTACAGTATTTTTATAAAACGTATCCCTGCTCTTAAAATTAAGCTTTTTGCCATTTTATAATGAGAAAAATATAAAATGTTTTTTAATAAAATATCATAGCAGATGGCGCTATCAAATGTTGCGGAAAAGTTAAGCAACACGTTTCCGGCATTTTTTTATTTTAATGTTTAGTCTGAATTGATGGAAAAAAATATAATATCAAAATTTGTTTCTAGTCATCATAAAAAAAAATTGGTTCTTGTGCCGATTTCGATCACCAATCCATCCCTGGCACTAAACGTTTATTTAAATATTAAAGAAAACAGAAAGTAATAAAATAATATGTTTTTAAAAGACGTTTTAAAACAGTTTTATTAACGTAATGTATAAAATTACGAAACTTTAAGTAAAATGTCGTCTTTACTCAGTAATAAACTGTTTGCGGATCACAGTTTGAATAGAACTGGTTTAGATTATGTCTTCCATTCTTCCCAATTGATAACAGTTTAAGTTTTTCAATAACTTATACTTATCTAAGAAAATACTTTGACTACTTAATAATTTTATAAATTGAAATGATATGTTAGAACACAGTTAAAAATATTAATTTAATTTAAAAATTACATTATTAATAGAACTTTTAAAACACTTTGAAAATCTTCACGACGTTAAACATCTGAAAAATTGTATAAATTTAGTTGAAAGTAGAAATTTTACAGAATTATTCATTCGAAATTTAATAATAATTCGAGAGGATCCATCACTAATTATAAGATTTATTTTAAATTAAAACGTTATATGGAAATTTTAAGTGAATTTTTATTGTTGAAAAATTTTATAAATTACTGTATAACAAAATACAGATATAGAAATTAAACTTCATTATATTACTATAATTGTGTTTATAGTAACATATGATCTATTGCTTAAACAAATAAACTAAACAGAAAAATACGATCTATAGATATATTTATATATATACAAATAACAAAAATTTTGCTTGAAAGAGATATAATATGGACGATAAGCAGAAAAGTTTTGCTTCTATCTCCGACGTTATCAGAATATTCAAAGACAACAAGAAAAAAATGAAGTTTGTTTCACGGATTATCTTTTATATAAAAATTAACATGTTATAAATAACAATATCAGTATCGTGAGATGACGTATGAATAGAAATTAATTGTTTTCTTTTCCACTAATAAATTTACTTGTTGGGAATTGTGTAAGACATTATCCATAAACGAAACTTAAGCTATCAACCAAAATACAATAACTTAAAAGAATGAATTCGAATAGAAACGTCAGTATAGTTATTAGAACAAAATCACAAATTTTAAACCTTTAAAAACTAATTAATTTAAAAGTCTAAAGTATATAGAATTTAATTGACATTAAAAAAAAAAAATTCAATTTTTTCGTCTCTAAGTTATAGTACTCGTTACTGTTTATATCTGTCACTAAGACAAGTATTATCAACATCAAAAAGGTCAGGAATTATCTGTTTGACGTCACTTAAGAGGGCGCTAGTAACTGAGTGGGCAGGTGTAACTTCAGATAATCACTTGACATGTGAAATGTTACCTGGTTAACACTTTTAGGTAAGCTGCTGCACTCGTTTTCCGTTTTAACACCGCGTAATTTATAGAAATTAAATAACGGTTACTGAAAAAATTTTTATGTAAAAGTTATTAAGTTGAGAAAAATTTGTGCTTATTTTAATTTAAAAAAAAAATGAAATGTCAAATATAATATCTATTGTATTAATTTTAAATATTTTAAATCTTATACTATGATATTAATTTAGTCTAATGTAAATATTATATAATCGTTTTTTAAATCCATTTATATTATTGAGATTTTCAAAAAGAAATAACTTATATAAAATTAAACATTATTTATTTTGTTTAAAAGCTTTTAACTTGTTTACGATAAATATTTGATTAATTTTAAATCAATTTATTCAACAAAACTAGGCATAAACTATTAGAAGATTTATTATAGAATATATTTTAGCATTTCATAAAACGAGATTATGTAAATATGAAATAATACAATAAAGAAAATAGCTATATCTTTATTTGACTGATAATATATTTAAAAAATAAAAAATAAAACATTTAATGATTAAATTTAGGACTAATATTTGATGTAGAATATTGTTTCGAAAACGGAAATAAGAAGTAACTCGTCTANAATATATATATATATATATATATATATATATACTAAAACTATTTTATCCTTCCCCAAGAATTTTTTTAGTATTAAAAAACGTTGATTAATGAATGATTTTATAAATAATAATTCAGTCGTTTTTGAAAAATATTTTCTGAATATATTCTTAAATTCTTACAAAATAATATAAATAAATTGTATACTGTTAATTATTAATGAATTGATAAGAATAAACATTTTATACAAAATAGTTTACAGTGTAAATAAAAGCTTTCATAAACTAATTATATAGTATTTAAAAAATTTTACAATGTCTTCTTTAACTTTAAGTTTCTTTTGAGGTTTTCAATATTTTTTTAATATTCAATAAGACTTAAATTGAATGCATATAATAATAAAAACATACTACACAAATACAAAAATATATTATTCTGGCACTGAATTAGAAACTTTAGAAAATGTTTATCACCCCACTGCCTTACTCTATATTACTAAAACTTCATAAATTAGCCATCAGTTTTAATTGTTAGAAACTATATTGATGACAAAAATCAATATGGAATAAGTCATCTTTAAAGAGAATATAATTTTCAATGTAGTAAGTTAAGTTTAAATATTTTTTTGCGAGTTTAAGAAATTACTGTATTATTATTATTTTTTAATCATTAAAGTTGCAAACTAAGATGCAAAAATTAAAGAATTTGGGACAGCCTCTGTTTTGATATTAGTTTCATTGAATATTCCTAGATGGCGTTGACGAGTACAAATTAAAATTATGCAAGTGTGTATTCAGCTTTGCATACGCGCCGTCCTGCGGTTTCATAGACACTTATTATTTAATAAGAAATAAGTCATATATATAATTTTTTTACAAGTTTCAATCGATTCTTTAAGCTCTTATACATTATAAGATAAGTTTGAAAAGTAAAAATACATTATAGCCACTATGGTTCCCGGACCAAAGCCAGCACGGCCCGCGATAATATTTGACATATCGCTGATAGAAGTAGACCTACTTTTTGTATATAGAATGTACTGTACAAAATATTTATTTGCGCCTACCTACAATTTATGCCCAATTTGAACCACGATTCGGAAAGTTTGGGCATATTAACGATGTTTATTCGCTCCGATATACGAAGTCGGACTACTATAATGTATTTTTAACTTTTCAAACCTTGTGCTTGCAACAAAAGTAATCTAAATTATAATTCCTAATAAAAAAAAATCAACTAAAGTTTAATGTCTGTTTCAAAAATTAGAAGATATTCTAAATAAACACATAAAATATCCTTCTTCAGCCACTCCAGAGAAGGGAAAATGCCCAAAAGCATATTCCTAACTAGAAGAAAGAGACCTCTTGTATTGGGTATGGCGTTCTGAATAAAAGAACTAATAAATTAAGTTCTATAAAATATAAAAGAAAAGGAAATGAATGAAAAACCACAAAAATAATGTTTATTTATTTCTATCAAAATAGCTTTTCTTTTCTGGAATTGAGCCAAACGCAATACTCTTCGCATATTCCATCGAATAAACATCGTTAATGTTTCCGAACTTACATTAAATTTTCTTTATTAAACTTTTTACCTATCTTTGATAGATAAAGAGTTTAGAGATTGTTTAATTCCCAGAATTTTGATTGAGATTGGAGATAAAACAATATTAAAATTTAACAATTCGAGTTTACTTCAGTAACAAAAGAATCCAACTTTACTGTCAAATGGAAGTGCTTTCCGGAAGGATTTTCTACGGGAAAGTGACCCTCATTTAGGTGTCAGATACGTGAAGAAAACCCAGAGAACTCCACGTGGCCAGCCCGTAGTGAGGCGCAAACTCGAATGGTTTTTATCCATTTCTCACAGATTTATTAAATTCGTTAAAAAAAATAATAATATTTCGAGTTATTAAGAAAATGGTAAATTGATTTAGTTTTTAAAGAGGACAAGAAAAGTTAAAAGGTATTTTCACGAATTTTATGAAATTAAAACAGCGTTTGAGTCTTAATTGCTCCAAGTGAATATTTGTTATGCATAGTAAAATGTAATTTTGAATTAATTTTGTAATCGTTTCAAAGGATTAAACGAAATGGTTTTTTTTTTTCTATATTTCCGAAAACGTTATTCTCTTTACCAGAAAACGATTTAATTGACAAGCAAAAGATTTTCTACAAAAATATAGTATAATTTTACAGTAGTGTACAGGATGATAAATTATAATTAAAAAATAGGTGTTCAGAGCTATTGGAAAAATTTCAAATTAATTTCGTATATATACTGTTCTGATAATATGGCTTCGATTTTCAGAAAAAGTTGCTTCAAACTTCCACTGCTGGAGTGAAGTTTGGCTTTTCTCAAAACTCAAAATCATTATTCTAAAATTCCCAATAATCAGAGGACTACTTGTAAACCTTTCAAGCGCCGAAAGTGATGAGCTGGCATTGTTGTTTCGTTGATAGAAATGAAAAGCTTAACAAATAGTCTAACACACAACCAGGCAAAGTGAGCATCGTTCACCTGTCAGAGTTGTGAAGAACGTTTTGTGATATCTTTTATATCCGAATATCGTTAGAAAACACACGTAATACGCACTTACTGAGCTATATAGTTGCGTCAAATTCTGTTCTAGCGGATGAATTTCGAAGTAAAATTTTTGTGAGAAAATCGAAAATGAATACTCGGGACAGTATGTGTATCAAATTTGGTTGAAATTTGCAAAATAGCTTTTTGTTTTGTTTTTTTTTTTTTTTGCAAAATTTTCTGAACACCTGCTTTTTAACTAAGTTGTACAGGACATTATTTTATTTTAAAATGAAATTTTTAACGTTGATGCATCTGCTGATCTCTTACACTTAATTATTAAAAAAAATTATTTAATAAAATGTTCATTTAATGAAGCTTGCAATGAAATAATGCTCTCGACTATTCCTATGACTGTAGCAGATGCGAAACGATCATTTTCCAAACTTAAACGAGCAATTATTTATTGTGACATCGTCACAATGCCGAACTGCAATTTTTAATCATATTCTTAATTTATTTAGTTTAAAATATATGCTCTCGATCTCAAATTAGTAGTCTCTTGCCCCTGTACATCATACTTTTCCTGATAACAACAGTCGTGCTGGTCATTTATAGAACTTGTTCAACAGAAAAAGTTTTGAATTGAAATTACGCACATGGCTTTCGGTCTAGACCGATAGTTTGTTTATAGATAACGAGCCCTTTGCCTCTGAGCTTTCTATATCTAGTCTTGACTTTCATTTATCCAACACCGTTCTCGAGATTAAGGAAGGACGGACAGACAGACAAACGCTAGTGGTAATTTAAAAGTCTACAATTTTTTCAAATTGCAGTCAAACTAAATAATAAAAAGTTATTTAAGAAGTTCTATAAGCCAAACTAGACCAAGTTATTTAAGTATATTAAGTGTAAAGTAAAATCTTTAAATGTTTAATGTAAAAAATATTATAAATGCATTTTTAGTGACAAGATTTTAAAAAATTAAACTTGAAAATATAAATAAATATAAAATTTTAATTTTGTATTAATTATTTTCTTTTCTTTTATTTGTTTTTAAGTGAAATTAATTTATGTTATAACTTAACTTGTTACATGTTATAACTTAATACAAAATATTCTTTTCTGTTATTAAAATCAAAAGATATATTTAAGAATTTTCGACAGAAAAAAAACCAAAATTTTAATTTATGAACAAATTTAAAAACTAATTAAAATTGTTTGTTGGTTTTTATTTTGAAACTTAATATTCAAATTATTAAGTTAATATACGACAGATAGCAAGTATATTCTAATCTTAATCATTAAGATGACCCAAAAAACTTTGACATGAATTATAAATATCTAAAAATAACAATCCACTTGACGAAATTCATTTTTTAAATGAGAAAATTACTCATTTTGAATTGAGAATCGGTAAAATTTAAAACTAAATTTTAAACTAAGTTCAGTTTTAAAACTTAACTTAAAACTCAAACTAAATTTAAAACAAACAGGAAAAAAAACTAAATTAATTTTGAATTAATAAAATGTGTTTATACTCTTAATTTCTATGCAAAATTAAATCTTAAATGTAGTAAAGTTTGCCTACGTTCTTAATGTTTGTCATTCCTTACTTGTTTATTTAGTATTAAAGAGATTAAAGTAGGATGAATAAAGGATTAACATAAAAGATGGGATTAAATTTCAAAGTTTGTTATTTTCTTTTATATAAAAATTAGATTTTAACGAACAATCAAACAATAGACCTTTTAATTTATACGGCGATCATCCTTTAAACTTTTGCATTACTTGATAAGATTAATGTACGAAGATTATCATTATTAGTTAAATATATTTGAAGAATTGGATTATAATATAAGTACTGTATTAGTAATAAATTTCTAAGTAAAGAAAACTATTTTCAAAAGTAAATAGTAGTAATTCTATTAATAAATAAAACCAATTTATTATCTTGTTTAGTCAGAAATATAAAATTTCTTAGGCATGTTACCTTTAAAAACATATAAATATCATATTACTTCAAATTTAAGTCATTTTTCATCTGTTTTTTCGAATTTAAAGTAAGAGTTTATGTCCTAAATTCGAGGTTTACCTTCTAATTATCATCTATTTTTTCTGAAAATNTTCAAATTTAAGTCATTTTTCATCTGTTTTTTCGAATTTAAAGTAAGAGTTTATGTCCTAAATTCGAGGTTTACCTTCTAATTATCATCTATTTTTTCTGAAAATCTTTTTTTTTTTTTTTTTTTGAAAATGGGGGTGCGCCACAAACTTAAAATAACAATGGCAATTACGTGATTATTTTCTTTAAAATTAAATTTCTTTAGTTGATAATAGTAAATTTATTTAATAAAGTATTGAAATTTGGTTTCAGAACCGAAAAAATTCAGCTAACTCGAAAAATATGTGTGAAAAATTTTATCAAATTTTTTATTTTATTTCTTTCATATTATGCAAAACATAATATCTTATCAAGGTTTGATTTTACTACTTCAAATCGAATATTATGTAAGAAATTGTACTAAAGTAGTTTATGTAACTTTCATTTTATATAAATAAAGTTGTCATCTGTAATATTAAATAGTTTAAATGAATCAAAGTGATTGTGTTGAAATTAGTGAAAATTTTCTAATATATATAATTAGTGAAATTTGTATTTATTTGATTAATTGAGAAACAGGAGTTTATTCTTATCTAAATAATCTTGTTTCTTGTTTTACTCCATTCCCACGTTACTATTTAACAATGTAGATAAGATTGAATATATTCATCTATCTTTCAACTGTTGCATAACTTTCGTGGGAATCTCTTCTAAATTCATTCTTGAAGGAAAAGGTTGGAATATAATTCGTCACATAAATGAATACATTCTTTGTTTGAATGATTTATTGAACTTACATATGTATTTTAAATATAACTTAAGATAAAATAAAACATCTACCTAGAAAATTATTAAAAAAAATTATTTAATAAAATGTTCATTTANCCTAGAAAATTATTAAAAATATATTATTCATATTTACTTTAAATAAAATCAATAAATAATAATATTTATTTCTAATAAATGAAATATACTTACATAATTACTTTTTTTTTAACTATTTAAGTAACTAATAATATTTAAATTTAAATTAAATATTATTACATCATTACTTTTATTATCAAATCTTGGTTATAGTAATTACTGATAATTATATTTTCTTTGTTAACTTTAAGCTGTATTTTGTAAAAAAAATTACACAATTCTAGTGTAAAAGTAATTGCTTTTGGCTTATTTTTTTTTTTTTAGCTATGTTAAACTTATCTCAGCGTTGATATAACTGAAGCTGGATAAAACATCAAAAGCTAAAGCTTAGTTTTTAAAATTATTTTGTTTATTGTTATTATATAGAATAATTCTATTAAATTACTTTAATTGAAATTACTAATATTTATTCTTCTATTACAGAATTTCTACTCTTTTATATTCGAATTTTAAATTGAAATATTTAATTTTTATTAACTTAATCACAGATTTTTTTTCACTCATTATGCCAAGTGGAGATAAAATGATTAATAAAAAGTAAAGTATTAAAATTATTTTTTGTAATATTTACGTAAAAAATAATAATAAAAAATGATAATTATTTTTAAATATTTGATTTTCTCAAGTTTTTTAAGAGCTTTTTGGAGTAAAAGAACTAAGATTGAAAAACGTCTATTAATAATAAATACTACTCTTTCTATACTCATTTTATGTATCATCATCCCATTATTGATCATAATTTTTAAAAAAGGTATAAAAACTTTATGAAATTATAACATAAAGTCAAATATATTTTGATTTTTAAAGTGAATTTTTTCTGAATTTTAGGAAAAAATTATACATTATCTCAAGTTTCTGTCTGCACAACAACTGACTGCACAGAAAGAAGTAAGCATTTGTTGATAATGATACGCCCTTATATTAGATCTATTAAGAGACTATTAATCCTTATAATTTTATAGATAAATTTTTTCTTGACTACAAGATATTCATCTAAAAAATGAAATTTAAATTGGAATTAAAGATCATTTATTATTTTCAAAATGTTTATTTAATAAATATTACTTTTTATTCAAGAAAAATACATAAAAATTATCTGAAGGCTAAATTTAATATAAATACAACAATATTTTTTTATATATATATTTAAAACTTGTTCTATCTTTCCATAGGTCAGCAACTTAGAAAATGGATAAATAATTCTGTCGATCCATGTGATAATTTCTATAGTTACTGTTGTGACGGATGGATACGTGACCATCCCTTACCTGAAAATAACATAATTTTTGGCCCTTCTGAAGAATTGGAAATGAGCATTGCATTAAAAATTAATGGTATGTGAAATTGGTAAATTGATTTTGAAAAATTTAGAATTTTCAAATCTATAAAATTTTAATTAAAAATAATTTAATTTCAGATCTTCTATCAAATTTAGAATTGGATAAATATTCGTTAATACCAGTAAATAAGACTGTAACATTTTTTAGAGCGTGTTTAGATAATGGTAAAATATTAAATTATATCACTTTTATTTAATTCTTTATTTTAAAACATTAAAAATTTAAAGAAAAATTACTTCTTTTCAATTTATTTTCTATAGAAGTATGTAATATTAAGTAACAAACACATAATGAATAATTTTTCTCTATATCTAAGCCAACAATAATTAGATAAGCCCTATCTTTAATATGTCAAGTATTTGCTGAAGTAGTTTTTAATATTGAATAATTTAGACATAGCTTATAATTCATATAAAATTTTGCAAAATACTTGCAGAAAGTATCGAATCGAGAGGATCCAAGCCCTTTCTTAATTTAATAAAAGAATTCGGAGGTTGGCCAATCATATCTTCCGATTGGAACGATAAAGATTTTGATTGGCTGAATGCTATTACCTGGTTATTAAGAAAAACAGCTACTGGTTATATCGTTCGATTTATAATTTCGCCTGATATCAAAAATACATCTTATAATATCATACAGGTTAGATTTACTTTATATGAAATTATAAATAATTAAGCAGTTTCCTGTAAAGAATGCTTTCTTATAAATATATATTGCGGTAAGATACTTTCCAAGAAAAAGTTGTTTATTAAATATATTAATTATTTTTTATTTATTTATTTTTAGCTAGATAAACCTAGTTTGAGTCAAAGAACAAGTATTTTATTAAATTCTTCCAATGAAGAAAGCCGAAAAACGCTCAAGAATTATAAAGAACACATTAAAAATATGATAACATTATTAAACGTTAGAAAGGATCCGAATGAAGACTTGGATAAAGATATCGAAGAAATAATTGATTTTGAGAGAAAATTAGCAGAGGTTTATATATTTATTTCTATATTTAATTTTTTATATTAATTTTTTAATATTTAAACTTACAATAGTGCTGAAAAACGCAACAAAATAATTTTGTTTTTATGAAGTATGAAATTAAGGAAACTTCTTTCAGAAGGATCTTCCTCTCCTAAATGTAAGGAAATTCATACCAGAATCTGAGTTATGCTTGTATATTGATCGAAATAAATTTATCATTATCGTAAAAAGTAAAAGACAGTTATTATGGTCATATTCTAGACAATTGATTCGAAAAGTCGAAGTGTTTTATATTATAGCTTTATTTCAGAAAATAAAACACAAAAATTATTCTAAAATTATGTTACAATTATATTTATTAAGTTTTGAATTTATAAAATGAAATATCGAGGTCATTGGAGAAATTTTTTAAAATATTTCCGTTTGTTTCAATGCATTAAATCAATTCTCTTGTTACGCTCGTAGACGAAATTATGATTTAAAAAGTTCTTTTTTATGAATAAAAGTTTTTATAAAATAAAAAAGTACAGTCGACCCCTCTATAACACTATTTATAATTTCGTTTTATATGAATTCCATGTTGTACGAGTCACTTAGATTTTATAAATACGTGTGCCGGACTGTGAACGGCTCACGTATTTGTAAAATCTAACTGACTCGTACAACATGGAATTCATATAAAACGGAATTATCAACAGTGTTATAGAGGGGTCGACTGTATTATCAAAAATAAATACAGTACAGTAATTTAATTTTATAATAATTCTTTGCTTTTAGTGCTTCTTCAAAGTTCATGTTTACTGAAGCTTTTCTGGGGTTTAATTTTTTTTTTCAATCTCAACTATTTCATTATTTTCCTGGAGGAAAGAAGATAAAATATAAGAATATTAATAATAAACATAAGATATTTTAGTATAAAAGAATATTTATTTCTTAGCTTAAACATTAAGAATTTCCATCAGATTTTATTAAACATCACAATCAATTCTTGCTAAATTTTAGATTTTAGTAATCAAACTCGAAAATCACTTAAAAAGTATGTAATTAAATTTTAAGCTGTTTTTCTTTATAAGTGATGTATAATCATCTTTAATTATATCAGAGATATTATTGACCGAATAACGCTGGATTTAATTTTGGTTCCTATCTCTGAGAAATCAAAATCGAATGTGAAATATGTTTACTTCGTTTTTCGTAGTAATGACTGTCATTAAGATCTCAAATAAAAATGCTGTTTCTTATGGCTGACATATTTGATTCAAGTTCTTATCGAATAACCGATATAACTCTACTTCTTATAGCCTATATAATAACTTACATACAGTATATATAAAATAGTATACAGTACTAATATTAGGTGGGATATGTGAATATTTCGTATAATTTGATGCAGATTTATGAATTTTTGAGACAGTCGCTCAGAATTGTTCTCTTTTTTTTATTAATGATATTCATCTTTTGCTTTCTATCTTTCTTCTTATTGTCTGCTTTACACTTTATACCAGGGGTGTCCAACCTTTTTGTTTCTCTGGGCCGCATTGAAAGAAGTCAAGGAGTTTTGGGCCACAAGTATATATAATATATACTTGTGGCCCAATATACAAGTATATTTAAAAATTAACATGTCTAGATTATAATAATAAGTATTAAAACTTTATCAAGAAAAAAGGATATTTTAAAAAATTACTTCTACAGACACTTTCAATTTTTACTTAGAAATAGATAAATTCATTTATTATAAAAGAGACTAAAGAAAATTTATTTGAAAAACACAAATATTTGTTTTATTTGGGTCTCTAATTAATAAAAAGCGACGAAACACCATTTTAAAGTGCATTTTTATTCAATTAATATAATTATAAATAATATGTAGCCGAAAAAGTAGCCAAAGCGCCAAATGATATTTTTTACGTCAAACAAAAAAAAGTAGCCACATTTGGCCCAATGTAGCCAAATCTTGCAACGTTGGAAGAAATACTAAATAAAGCTGGAGTTGTGAATCAAAGGATTATAGACCCAAGTGCGGGGAAAAAGAGGCAAAGGACAAAAGATAAAGAAGTGAAAAAGGTTGAAAAATTACGGGTCCATATTTGCTTAACAGAAGATCTATTTAACGTTTCTCACTACTACATCTTTTGTCCTTTCTCATCTTTCCCTCCTTTTCCCAAATTTGGGTCTATAATCCTTTGAGTCACAACTCCAGCTTTATTTAGTAATCCTTCCGCATTCACACATCTCCAAGTATTTGAAAATATTTTCTTTCCATTCAAAAATAAAATATGAATAAAGGTTTACGGCTTTGTGAAACTTTTTTTTGAGTTTATGCCGTTGAAATAAATAAATAATAATAAATTAAAACATTTGTCGGTTTTATTTACATGTTTATTGGGCCGCATTGTAACTCGCCTTGGGCCGCATGCGGCCCGCGGGCCGCGGGTTGGACACCCCTGCTTTATACGATGCATTCTTGCGATAGAAATTTACTTCTATTTTATTTTATCACTTTTCTATTTTAAAAAGAAAGAGAAGAATAATATTTCACTAAAATAGTAACATTAATTGTAAGCTTTCTTTTCTTTTTTTGAATATATTTATTTTCATTAGTATAAAGTTTACGTATTCTATCAAATGTTACGTGTTTTAGCACTGTTGTAATGTATACTTATAGAAATGTAATCGTTATTAAAATACTAATTAAACTTTAGTCTAATTATTGATTGAATAACTAAAAATTAAGTAAAAAAGTTTTCAATTTACGAAAACATGTGGAAAATATTAATTAATTACGGTAATTAAAACATTTTAAATTTATATTATTCTTATTACCAATTGTGTCCTATCATAACTGTTAATTAAAATATACACTGCTATCCGTTTAATACAATCTCTTAGTTGATTTGTCTTTGTAATATTCCGATTTTAAATAAAATTGTTACCATGTTAATTAGCTTCATTGCTTAAAATAAATATTAATGTTTACAAATAATTTTATATCAAGTTTAAGTTGCTATTATTCAATTTTAATTTGTATTCATAACTGTATCATGCAAGCTAAAAATGTTCTGTATAATGAAATGATATATATATCATTATATATATATATATATATATATATCATTTCATTATACAGAACATTTTTAGCTTGCATGATACAGTTATGAATACAAATTAAAATTGAATAATAGCAACTTAAACTTGATATAAAATTATTTGTAAACATTAATATTTATTTTAAGCAATGAAGCTAATTAACATGGTAACAATTTTATTTAAAATCGGAATATTACAAAGACAAATCAACTAAGAGATTGTATTAAACGGATAGCAGTGTATATTTTAATTAACAGTTATGATAGGACACAATTGGTAATAAGAATAATATAAATTTAAAATGTTTTAATTACCGTAATTAATTAATATTTTCCACATGTTTTCGTAAATTGAAAACTTTTTTACTTAATTTTTAGTTATTCAATCAATAATTAGACTAAAGTTTAATTAGTATTTTAATAACGATTACATTTCTATAAGTATACATTACAACAGTGCTAAAACACGTAACATTTGATAGAATACGTAAACTTTATACTAATGAAAATAAATATATTCAAAAAAAGAAAAGAAAGCTTACAATTAATGTTACTATTTTAGTGAAATATTATTCTTCTCTTTCTTTTTAAAATAGAAAAGTGATAAAATAAAATAGAAGTAAATTTCTATCGCAAGAATGCATCGTATAAAGCAGGGGTGTCCAACCCGCGGCCCGCGGGCCGCATGCGGCCCAAGGCGAGTTACAATGCGGCCCAATAAACATGTAAATAAAACCGACAAATGTTTTAATTTATTATTATTTATTTATTTCAACGGCATAAACTCAAAAAAAAGTTTCACAAAGCCGTAAACCTTTATTCATATTTTATTTTTGAATGGAAAGAAAATATTTTCAAATACTTGGAGATGTGTGAATGCGGAAGGATTACTAAATAAAGCTGGGATTATAAATAAATTTGGGATTATAGACCCAAATTTGAAAAAAGGAGGGAAAGATGAGAAAGGACAAAAGATGTAGTAGTGAGAAACGTTAAATAGATCTGTTAAGCAAATATGGACCCTTAATTTTTCAATCTTTTTCACTTCTTTATCTTTTGTCCTTTGTCTCTTTTTTCTTGGGTCTATAATCCTTTGATTCACAACTCCAGCTTTATTTAGTATTTCTTCCAACGTTGCAAGATTTGGCTACATTGGGCCAAATGTGGCTGCTTTTTTTTGCTTGACATAAAAAATATCATTTGGCGCTTTGGCTACTTTTTCGGCTAATATTATTTATAATTATATTAATTGAATAAAAATGCACTTTAAAATGGTGTTTCATCGCTTTTTATTAATTATAGACACAAATAAAATAAATATTTGTGTTTTTTCAAATAAATTTTCGTTTGTCTCTTTTATAATAAATGAATTTATCAATTTCTAAGTAAAAATTGAAAGTGTCTGTAGAAGTAATTTTTTAAAATATCCTTTTTTCTTGATAAAGTTTTAATACTTATTATTATAATCTAGACATGTTAATTTTTAAATATACTTGTATATTGGGCCACAAGTATATATTATATATACTTGTGGCCCAAAACTCCTTGACTTCTTCCAATCCAGCCCAGAGAAACAAAAAGGTTGGACACCCCTGATGTAGACCATCCTTTCTCAAAGTGGGCAATAACGCCTCCTTGTGGGTGCTGGAGGCTTTCAGGGGGCAGTAGAAGGCTCACTGATTAAATATGAGTTTTATTTCTTCTCATTGAAACATTCTTTGATCTCAGAAATAGGATATTGGTCACACCCTATTTATCCTATCCATATAAAAGAAAACCAACATATTTA